TTTTGATATTGTACATCGAAAATGTGGCCGTGTTGATACTGAGGAGATTTGACGGTTCAGAAGGAGGAGAGTATGACAAAGGTAGACATGTCGACAGAAGACAAGGAGACCCACTTATCCAGTCGGATGTAGCTGTCGAAGCCAAAGCAATCAAGGCCAAAGTTGAATGACCTAAATCTGAGTCGTAAGGTCATAAATGAGACAGAGATATCAAAACCATCTGACATGAAGAAGTCGACTAGAGAGATGACCTAGCACCTCAACATCTCCAATCATAATAGAGAAGTTCAGAACTCCTTCATATATTATAGAGGGTCGACCGACAAATTAAGTCAATCAATCGAATTAGCCCTGCCGACTTTAAGTCATTCGAGCACATCCAACCGGCAACACCGACAAAGCCCAACCAAGCGAGCCAAACCTGTTAAGTCAAAGTTATACAAGCTCAACTGAACGAACCAAGAGCAATTATGCAATAGACTCATATATGTAAAATATCTAGAATAAAGATCTAACATCATCATATTGCACTCTCTCATATAAATAGGGAGATCATTTCATGTACAAGTAAGGGCAAATAGACCCGACTTCAGCCCAAAAGGTTGAGAAAGGTCAACTCAATTAGTACAATTTATTATTCATTATTTTCTGTCTTTATCTCTCTCTTTCCCGACGCTTTATTCCTTTGGGTGTGATTCATGAATAAATCAGGATTCAACATTCTAAAAGGTGTGGTAAGCATAAATCATGTCACGGACAAGAAGAGAAGTGACCCACAGAGAAGAAACTCACAATAGAGACACCAGTAATATGGAGTGCACTAAGGAGTTTGTGAACCAGCAGATCCATAAGTTGAAGAATCAAGTGTTGGATGTCATCCGAGATGTGGTGTTTTGGGAAAGAGAGCAACGTCCCCGAGAGGAAGGGTCGGCGCTTATTAATCGAAGAGGCCCCTAGCCTTAGAAAGAGCATGAGACCCTGTATTTCGATAATGTTGGGTCAGCACTGATTGATCGACATTGGTTCAAGCCTATTAAGGTGCCCCAACATCTAGAGTACATCCTCTTGGCAAATCTCTAAATTGAAGCCCCCACA